GAGAGGGGGAGAGAGAGAGAGAGAGAGAGAGAGAGAGAGGGTCTCCCCAACCCCAAACGCCTAGCAAGCAAGCAAGCAAGAGAGAGAGAGAGAGAGAGAGAGAGAGAGCGAAGGTAACGAGGTCGGCCACGTGCGCAGCATAGTCATCATGCAGACATGTAGGCTAAAATGTAAGATTGCACAGCCGGTGTTTGTGGAAGATCTATCGAGATCCATCGAACTAGCACGTGGATCGTGGATCTTTCAGCTGAGCCCTGCCTCAGCTTCTGGAGAGTGTCAAGAACTTGAGTAGCTTGTGCTTGATTGTGAGTAGAACCTGCTGTAAGGCCCTAAGGCGTTGCTTGTGAATGCTACGTGACAGCTGCGCCGGCTGGCAGGTCCAGGCGGTCCAGGTGCTCCGCTTTGGCCCTTTGGCCCGAGCTGGGCACACAAGCCGGTGGGGGGGGGCAGAGAGGGCCGGCGAAGCCGCCCCGCGCGCCGTGCGCCCCACGCACGGATCGGTGCGTGGCGGCCCGGCTCCAAAGCCTTTCTGCGTGCTCCGTCTGTCAATCCGACACAGGGCAGATGTGGTGAGGGCGTCTTTTTGGTCTTCGCCGCTCAAGGTGCAAGAAGGGTCTGTCCTCGCTGCAGGATCATCAGCTCGGCTCTTGAAACAGGAATCCGCCGCGAGATCGAGAAATGGACTCCGAGGTCGGGACTGCACTGGTCCATCTGTTTCGGGCTTCCAAGGGGCTTTTGGGTGTCCCTGTAAACATCTCAGCACGTTTTGCGCTTCTCTTCACTTCGACTCCTCGTCGCTACGCGTGGCCGCTTAAGCGAGCAGCGTCTGGGCACAAGGCCGCAGCGACCGGCAAGACGCCGGGACCTTGGAACTCCCTTGATCGGTCTGTCCAGAAGAGCGCGCGCTATGTTGGAATGCGAGGACGAAGGGCGCTGAGACGGGCGAGGTCTCCGCTGTGCCGGAAGACTCGCACACGCACGACCCGTCGCAGACGGAAGGCCGAAAAGAGTCGTAGCCGCCGTAGCCGCATCCCTGACTCCTCTAGGAGAGACCAAGGAGGACACCAAGGAGGACGCCGCTGAGGCGCCCATCCGCGGAAGCTCTTGCAGCGGTCAAAAAGGGCCATAGCCATGCCATGACCCGGCCTACTAGGCCAGCAAGAAGAAAAAGAAGAAGAAGAAGGCGAAAGGTAACAAAGGATCTCTCTGGGAGCAGTCGGAAGATGTCGGAAGTTTGAAGCGAACATCATGTCACCCTGCCTTCTACTATTCGCATCTCTGTCTCTGTGTGTGTGTGTGTGTGACGCACTGCGGTCGTGTGCCCCCCGTTGCCGTATCGACCCTGCAAGGAGAGGACGCCGAGACTGGGATTCCGGAAGAGGAGGAGCGAGCAGCGGTACCGGTATAAACGTATAGACCAGGTGTGACAGGTAGTGAGACCTCTAGCAGCGGGAGCGAGGCCGAGCCCACGGAGCCCGTGGCCTTGGAGCCGGCGACTGCGGGTTACAACGGCGGGGGCGTTGCTCCCGCCGTGGAGGAGGCGCCCGAGGACGAGGCTGATCAGGAGGCCGAGGAGGCGCCGGCGCCAGCGACGCCTCTGTGCTTCCTTAAGTCTGGTAAGAGGGCCTCAGAGATTTGTTGGCTTCGGCACCAGGGCGACACAGGCAAGAAGAAGAAGAAGCGGCGAGGCGGAGGCCGAGAAACGGAAGCGACGGGGGCCCCGCGAGATTTTTGCCCACCATCTCCTCGCAGGCAAGAAGAAAGGCGGCCGCACGCTCAAAGCTATGCACAGTGGCTTATACCGCACTGCACAGGAAGTGGGGGCCTACCGCACTGAGCGCCGCCTAGGTGGTGGCACCTCCAGTGGACTTGACGGCATTGCCAACTACGGCATCTCCGACGAGGCTGAAAGAAGAAGAAACGAGAGACTGGAAGTGAAATGAAGTTTTGTAGATCCGACAAGAGGACTCTCGTCAAAGACACTTGAAGTTACACTCATGAGTGCAAGGAAGATCCCCTTCTCACTCTGTGAAAGAGGCTTCTGAAATCCTGCGCGCAGGACTTCGATGCATGGTGTCAGAAGACACTTGAGGCCGTAAACGACCCCTATTGCTTTGAGAGGCGGCGGCTTGCGGGAATTCTGTGAGGCCACGGCCAACGAGTCTGAAAAGATGACGTCGCAAGAGCTCCAGAAGCCTCCCAGGGCTGGGGGCCCACTAATTCCCCTGCAGGGGCCAGGGGGGGCGGAGCTGCCGCAGCCGCACACTCTTCGCGCTCCCCAGGAGTTCTGGGGCTACCAGTACTCCGGGCTTCTGCGTCCCGCTTACGTCTCCAAGCAGCTCAAGATGCCCGAGGCGCGCGGCGCGCGGAGAGGAGAGGTGTTCTTCACAGAGAACCGCGTGCGTCCACGCCACGCGGCGCAGCTCTCAGGGCACGCTGCTCCCGGACTATGCCCTCCAAGCCGATGTGCCCTGGCGTTCAGACAGAGACGAAGTCGAGGGAGCAAAGGTGAAGTTGCGCGCCACGCTTCGCCTCCACATCCCGAGGGCTCCAGCGCCTGTGAGCGCCAGGGGCTGAAAGAGGCGGACTCCGAACGGGACGAAGGGTGGTCTGGGGGCAGTCTGTCTGGCAGTGCGAATTGTGTCCTTTGAGAGAGTTTCTTGGCAAATCGAGGAAGAGGAGAGCACTGCATGCGAACCGGTCGGCAAACTACCGAATCTCAGCCTCCGGAAAGCTTGCACTGAAGCCGTCTAGGCCGGTAGAGCAACAAGAACACCGGATCAACGCTCAAGCGCGAATCTGATGAGAAACGTGCACGCGTAGACTGGAAGCGAGCTGACAGGATTTACCAATTTCAATCAGAGAGACATCCACCTTGAACACCCTCGAGCTGACATGATGCGGCTTGTGGATTGTCTTATACTGCAACCGAGCTGGTGCACTTAGTGGCGGGGACCTGGGACTCCCAACAGCACGTTGCCATGCATTGCCATGCCAGCAGAGACAATAATGACGGCTTGTGGCCCGGACACATCTGGCATTGTCTAGTTGGGCAGTTGTGGATTGTGGCTGTTCCGACCCGGCCCCTGCCATTGTACCTTGGCGGCGCCGGGAAATGCCCCCTCTCGACAGTTTCTCCTTGTCCGAGGGTCCAAGGTATACGGCCTGAGAAAAAGGCTTGGAGCGGGCATGGCAGCTGCGAAGACAGATGCCGTTCTCCTTTGGCTGGCCTGTGCTGCCTCCTACTAGTGACACTAGTGATTGGCTCCGAAGCGCCGCCAATGCCATCTCTGTCATTGGGTCACCCTAAAATTCACCAAGACGGTGTCATCACGTCACCAGATCATGAGAGATTGCCTCGCCTTGCATCGTCATTTGTGGTCCTTTCGACACTGTTCTCGCTGTGCGCCACCATTGCAACTTGTCGACAAAGCACAGAAAGCAGCTGCAAGGGAGCTCGTAGTGCGCCAGGTTCCCGTCTTGGAGGGCAAGGACCTCGAGACCATGCGGAGAGCCTGCAAGCTGGGTCGCGAGGCCGTGGGGGGGGGGCCCGGGCCGGGGGACTTTCTGCCGCGCTTTAGAACTCCGCTGGCAGGTTCTGGACACCGCTGCCCGCTTCATGCGGCCAGGCGTCACAGGGGATGAGATCGACCGCGTGGTCTACCAGGCTTCGCGCCGCTTCGCCCGCTGGAGAGAGTTGTTTTGGGGGGTGACTTCTCGTGGTTTGAGCAGAGGCGTGCATCGATCGCAAGATCTACCCCAGCCCACTGCGCCTGGGATGTCTGACCGCTCCTCTCTCTACCGGTTCGGTCCTCTGCAGCTGAGGAATTACTATCGCTTCCCCAAGACGCTCTGCGTCTCAGCGAACGAGGCGCGCACGGCAGTGCTGGCAGTGCAGTGGACTCCGCGTGCACAGTGTGTGGGGGTCTGTTTCAGGTGATTTGCCACGGCATTCCGGACTGCCGCCCCTGTGAGGCGAGGCGAAAGGGCGCCCACTCTGTCGCGGTCCTGTTTACTGTGTCCTTTCTGTCCCTCTCTCGGCTCGGTTAGGAGGGAGACATCGTGAACTTAGACATCAGCATTTACTTCGAAGGTGCGCCCTCCCGGCCGCCCCACTGCGCGCGCACCGCGCACAGCGAACGCACGTCGTCGTTGTCGCGTCTTCTGTTGTCCTTTCTGCAGGCTTCCACTCAGGCCGGCTGCTCAGCTGCCCGCTCACGGCAGGGATGGCCTGACCGTCACGCCGTCACAGTTCTGCAGCCGAGATCTCAACGAGACCTTTTTTATCGGAGATTGTGATGAAGATTCTCAGCGGCTGGTGAGGCCCGCCAGTGCTAGAAATAAGTGCTAGTGACCCCCCCGAGCCTTCGGAAGTTCCGCCTGCTCTCCCTTGCAGGACAGCCTACAATGCCCTCTTCGCTGCAGCACAGATGATCCGTCCGGGCCACACAGTGCGGCAAAAGGAGCAGCAGCTGGTGCTCTCTTTTTCGCAAGCGGAGCCGCGGGTTTTTGTGGCCAGGTCCGGGGACCTTCTATCGAGATTTAGGCGGCAGCTGCTTGCATGGGCACAGTCTACCATAGAGAGGGCCTCTTCAAAAGTGCCTGAAAGCAACAAACAAAGCAGGTGCCGCCATCCAGTCAGAGGCGCGGTTCCGCTCCATGGGCTCCCCCCCCTTCTTGCAGGGTGCGGTTGTAGTGACACCGTATACTGCGCCAGTCGCATGTCGCTCCTTTTTGTCGTTCTTTGCGCAGAGGCTTCCAAGAACGGCTGCGCCATCGTCACCACGCCGAGCACTCGGAAGTTTCGCATGGGCGGTAGGGCTACAGCAGCGGGCGCGCACGAGACTGGAGGTACTGCGGGCATGGCGTGGGTAAGTTGTTCCACGGACCGCCGAAGGTGCCCCACTACAAGTGCGGGCCTTGGGGGGCGGAATCTTGGGAAGTGGGGAGACAGGGACGAAGCCAGCTAAGCGCCAGGAAGAACAAGGCCGTGGGCATCATGAAGCCCGGCCACGCCCGTACCCTCGAAGCCCCTTGAAGGGGCTCCTTGGAGTCGGGGCGTGGCCGTCAACCCACAGTCAGGTCTTCACCGTTGAGCCCATGTTGAACCTTGGGGGTAATGGCGGCGACAGGAAAGGGGGCGGGCGCCTTCTTGCTTCACCTTCCACCCTCTCTCTCTCTCTCTCTCTCTCTCTCTCTCTCGCCCTCTCTCTTTCGCCCTCTCTTCGCAGAAGCAGGACCTGGCCCGACAACTGGACCGCCGTCACTCGAGATGGCAAGAGGCGCGGTCGCGCGAAAAGCGTTGCTTCCCCCAAACTGCCCGGTGTCGCGTGCCCTTACAACAAAAGGCAGAAGAAGGGCCCTTTCCAGTGCTGAGCTCCGCCTCTGGCGAGGTCCGCCCAATTCGAGCACACCTTCTTGGTCACCGAGCAACTCGGACTCGAACGAGCGAGAAGAGAGAGGGGGGCGAGGGCTTGCGACTAGCAGCAGCGCCTAGTGGCAGCGCTCGGCTCTCAAGGACCGGCTTGGAAGTCCTCACTGCGCGGCCTGGCACCGACCCGCGGCAGCCTCTGAGAGCCTCAGCCGGGCCGGTGTGGCTCTCTGCTCTGCGCTTCGCTGAGGACGCAGATGCCAGCCTACAACCCGGTGATGGCCCCGGGAAAGGGCAGTGCCCCGGCCGTTCTCTCTCAGATCTCCTCTGTTGCCTGCGGTGAGGCCATGTTCCAGAGGTGACTTCGCCGACGCCCGCCGACGCCCGCTGGGCTGGGCTGCGAGTCTTCGCCGCTGCAGTTTTGCGTGCCTTTCGTCCGCTGCCACGGCCCTGCCAATCTGGCACTCAGACCCGGACATCGACCGCAGAGACAGAAACAGGGCTCTGCTGCGCTCTGCGCTGCCTGGCAATATTGGCCCTAGACTCAGACGCTTCAGACAGGAAGTTGCGGGCCAAGCTTGCTGAGAAAGACAGCGCGTGGTCTAAGTCTGCTGCAGCGAATCACGACACCTAGAGAAGTAGACGCAGCAGTGGATGAAGGATTGAATTGGTTAGCTAGACGTATTATGTATTATGTATTATGTATTATATATTACATATTACATATTACATATTACATATTACATACTACATACTACATATTATATATTATATATTATATATTATATATTATATATTATATATTATATATTATATATTATATATTATATATTATAATTATATTATATTATATTATATTATATTATATTATGTTATGTTATGTTATGTTAAGTTATGTTATGTTATGTTATGTTATGTTATGTTATATCATA